AAGATCCATCCACCAATGCCAATGAGGTGTTAAAATTCCCTTCTATGACTGTACAGTCAAACCTCAGTTCTTGAACATCTCCCATCTCGAACAATTTGGTTCTTGACCAAGTTGTTCATAGAAAATAATGTCTCAGTTGTTGAGAAAACTTCAGTTTCCCACCTAACAAACCACTCGTGCTGACACCTGTATGAACGGTCACACGCCTCTCAGGCGACAAAGGTGACTTGGTTTTTTAAAAAGTCGCTTCACAAACAGCCTGCCTGAAAGAATTAAGTCTGAGAACTGAGGTTCCACTGTATTACTGTCAATCTCTCCCTTCATGTCCATCAAGGTTTGCTTTACATGTGTAGGTGCTCCTGTGTTAGGTGCATAAATATTCACTAGAATTATATCCTGTTAGATTGTTCCTTTTATCATCACATAGTGTCCTTTGTGTTTCTCACTACAGCCTTTGTTTCAAAGTCTATTTTGTCAGATAGAAGTATTGCTATTCCAGCTTTTTAAAATTTCCATCAGCATGAAATATCTTTTTCCATTCCTGTGTGAATCTTTTGTTCTGAGATGGGACTCTTGCAGGCAGCATGTATACGGATTTTGCTTTCTTACTCATTCAGCTATCCTATGTCTTTTGATTGGAACATTTAAGGTATTTACATATAAAGGGATTATTGATAGGTACATATCTATTGCCATTTTGTTCTTTTAACTGTTCTTTCTCTATTTTCTTTCTAATTCTTAAAGCAGGCCCTTTAACATTTCTTGTAATGCTAGTTTGGTGGTAACAGACTCCCTCAGCTTTTTCTTGTCTGGGAAGCTCTTTATTTCTTCTTCAGTTTTACATGATAGCCTTGCTGGGTAAAATAATCCTGGTTGCAGGTCCTTGTTTTTCATCACTTTGAATATTTCATGCCGACCCCTTCTGGCCTGAAACATTTCTGCTGAGATCAGCTGACAGTCTCCTTGGAGCTCCTTTGTAGGTAATTATCTGCTTTTCTCTTGCTGCCTTTAAGATTCTCTCTTTGTCTATAACCTTTGGCATTTTAATTATGAGTCTCGGTGTGGGCTCTTTGTATTCATCTTGTTTGGGACTCTGTGCTTCCTGGACTTGTGTGCCTTTTTCCTTCACCAGGTTAGGCAAGTTTTCATTCATTATTTCTTCAAATAGGTTCTCAATTTCTTGTTCCTTCTCCTCTCCTTCTGGTACCCCTATGGTGCTGATATTGTTATACTTCATGTTGTCCCAAAGATCCCTTAAACTATCCTCATTTTTTTTTAATTCTTTTTTCTTTCTGTTGCTCTGATTAGGTGTTTTCTCCACGTTGTCTTCCAAATTGCTAATTCGATCCTTTCCTTCATCCAGACTCCTTTTAATTTCTTCCAGTGTATTCTTGGCGTTGGATATGGTATTCTTCATATCTGACTGGTTCTTTTTCATGATTTCTATGTCCTTTTTCATGCAGTTGTAGTTCTCACTAAGTTCTTCAGTTCTCACTAAGCTCATTACTTTGAACTCTATAACTGATAGATTGCTTGCCTCTATTTCATTTAGCTTTCTCTGGAGATTCCCCCTATTCTTTCATTTGGGGCCTGTTTCTTTGTCGCCTCATTTTGGCTGTCTTTTTGCACTTATTTCTATGTATCAGGCAGATCTGCTATGACTCCCAGTCTTCATGAGTGGCCTAATATAGTAGGTGTTCTGTGGGACCCAGCAGTGCAATCTCCTTGATCTCCTGAGTTGGGTGTTCTAGGAATGTCCCTTGTGTGAGTTATGTGGGCTCTTCTATTGTAATTGAGTCCTGACTGATGTTGGCCTGTTCATGCATGGGATCAACCCTCAGTCTGGCTGACCTTGAGGCACAACCCTGGCCACAGTGTGCAAACTGCTGTGCAGGTGCTGACAAAAAAGAAAAGCAGTTTTGGTGTAGCTCCTTCTGCACTTCCTTCATTTCTCCAGCTAGTCTGTAGTTAGTTTTTCAGTATGACTGTGCCCCAATTTAGTTGTATTTCCAGTTTGGCCCTGCCCAAGGTATGTTCAAGATCTACCTACTCCACTGCAATCTTGAAAAATCCTAAGGCTGTTTTTTTTTAATAGCCCACAGGTCTCTGAGGTTCTATTCATTTTTTTAAATCTACTTTCTCTCTGTTCAGGTGGAGAAATCCCTGTTGTTCTGTCTGCAAGTTCACTGATTCTTTTCTTCTGTCCTTTCCATTCTGCTGTTGAACCTATTCACTGAGATTTTTGTTTTGGTTATTTTTCTTTTTTTTTCTTCCTTTTTTTAAAAAAGATTTTATTGATTTGTTTGTTTGTTTCTTTGTTTTTAGGGAAGGGGAAGGGAGGGAGAAAGAGAGAGAAACATCAATGTGCAGTTGCCCCTCGAGCACTCCCCACTGGGGACCTGGCCCACAACCCAGGCATGTGCCCTGAGTGGGAATCCAACTGGCAACCCTTTGGTTTGCAATCCAGTGCTCAATCCACGGAGCCACACCAGCCAGGGCTATTTTGGTTATTTTTCAATTCTAAAATTTACCTTTTATTTTTCTTTATATCTTCTGTGTCTTTGGTGAGACTTTCTATTTTTCATTTGTTTCAAGTGTTCTATAATCACTCATTAAAGCATAATTCTAGTAACTGTGTCATTTTGGTGTGACAGTGTCTCTTGATTAACTTTTCTCATTCAAGTTTAGATTTTTCTGACTGTTAACATGACAAATGATTTTCAATTGAAATCTGAACATTCTGGGTGTCATGACATGAGATGATGGATCTTCCATAAATCTTAGAGCAGGCCTCCCCTGACACCACGCCAGTAGGAAGGGAGAAGGCCAATTCACTACTGCCCTTACTGCAAGATGACAGGAGCAATCCAGGCTCCCTACAACATCTCCACTGAAACCACAGGGGTGGAGTCCTCATTAAGTACCTGATGAAAAAGGTCCCAGTTCCTTAACTGGCCTTCCCTAACACCATCCTGCCAGGAGGGTTAGAGCACCTCAATAGGTCTTGGCAAGGGTGGAAATGTAGAGTCTCCCCTCAGACCATGCTATCAGGGGCTGGAGTGGAGCCATAGATCTGTGGGGTCTGGCTAGAGCAGAGGGGTTACTGTCTAAAAGTTTTCTGTCTTGCTAAGCTGCCACCGTCCTTGTCCTTGGTCTAGATAAAACAGGATTTTTTCTGGGGCTTTTTCAGCATGTGCCTGCTGGCATTTCCAGATTGCTAATTTTTCTAACATCAAGTCTTAGGTACAGGAGACTAAGAAGAAAGCCCTTGGAGCCTACTGGTATGTCATTCATTGGGTCCAAAGGCTCCTGGCCAGACTGCCTTCTTCTACCCTTCAGCTGTTTTATGTTTGTTTTATAGATAATTTCTAGCATTCTTAACTGGGCTTACCACAAAGAACAGGGAAAAGAGACCTTCACTTCTTTATGAGCTTTTATATTTCCTTTTTCTATTTCTAAAGGAGTGTCAGTTATGTTCATTTACTCTGTATTCCTTTTAGGTTTGTCTTCAGTTCTGAAATTATTTTAAAATTCTTTCCCAATGTCTATCACCTATGAATTTTTCTTATGATTATATTACTCTTTGATGTCTTCCGTCATTTTTTTTTACTGTATTTTAGTTTGCTTTGGAATACTGTTATAATTTTCATTAGTTTTATGAGCATATTTTTCTACTGTCTTTCAGGTATGAAAAGGTGCATTCTATTCCTTATTCTCTTTGTTCTTAACAACTTTCTATGAGATCTGACTGTGATATTTTTCTGTTGATCAATTTTAGGTAAAATTACTTTTTCTTGTATTTTTACAGGAAAGGCTTCATTTGGGATAGTTTTCTAATTTCTCGACTCTCTAGCTCCCCCTTCCATTGTAGTACAGTGTTCAAACATATGACAGTTTACTCGTCCAGATCTCACTGCCTTTCTCCTTCCTTAACTGTTATTTGAAACTTTGTCTCTATTGCCCTCACCCTGTTCAATTTGAATTCTCTTCCCAGAAGTTTCTTCTCAGGGTGGGACTTTCTCCTGTAAAAAGACTTCAGCTGGTTCATTTTGAGAGTTAATAAGGCATAATTTGCTCCAGCCCCTTCAGATCCTACCACAGATCCCCTGAAATTACTACATTACTAGAATATGCAAAACTCTCTTCAATTCCAGCTGCTATTTTCCAATAGCTGGCCGAGCTTCCCAGTGAGGTTCCTCTGGGGGCACTGAACCCTGCCGGTGGACTCACTGCTCCCCTGCACTCACTCCCACACAGATGCTAATGCTGCACAGGTTTTGCCGCTGTCGTTGGTTTAGCCCTCCCCATCTGTCTAGCTCCCTCTAACCATGTTTGTTATTTGTGACCCATGTGATTGTGCGTGTTTCCTAGTTGTTCAGTGCAATTTAATGACCATCTCTTGGGGGGATTCAGAAACTATATCACCGCTGCCATATTTCCAAAATCCCTTAAAGAACAGGTGATAGTTTTTGACAACCTTCATTGCCTAAAAACAGTCAGCACAAAATCAGCATAAGTGTTGCTAAATTTGTCCCAAAAGTCAATCTCCATGGTTAATTCCGCTATGACAACATATATCCTCCTTTCAAAATGAATGGAAAGAGACCAGCAAACTGACCTTGAACTCTGGGGAAGTATTAGACAATGACAAAATTTCCACTAGTAAACTATACATTCAAACATTTGACCTACAGACATGTTAATTAAATGAAGAGATAAAGTAATCCCCTATTTATATAGAACCTATTACATGTACCTAAAGCAAACAATGAGAGATCATATCTGGAAAAGATGAATTATTGTTTATTACAATGAATTCATTGTAGCTCCCAACTTCAAAAACTAAGGATATGTCAAAAACAAAGTGGAATACTACTACCAAAATATTAACAGAGATTTTCCACCAGATAATGGAATTCTTTTCCTTTTGCTTATCTCTCCTTTATACATTTTCAAAATGGAAAGCTAAGCCTCTTGCAAAAGCGTCTGCAACAACTTACGCCAGAACCATGCTGTAATCTGAGTGGTTGAACATGTATCCTCCGACGACCCACATGATGTTGCCACTGACCACGGCTTTGTGCGAGGCTCTGGGCAGCTTGGGGTTAGAATATTCCTCTTGAGTCCAAAATGACTGGTTAGCTGGAACAGGGATTGAACATCCAGGACCTAATAAAGTGTAATAAATTAGCTTCACAAAATGCAGCTTTAATATTATTGCATTTCAAGTTGAATCTTTTCAATGTAACCAATGTCTAAAGAATACTTAGTCTTTCCCCCTTTAGCATCTAGATATCAGACAAATCTCTTTAATTTGTGCTTTTAATTTACTCAAAGCTAGAGACCAACAACAATCTCTCATAAAATTCAAAATCACGTACTTTTTAATGAACAGCCCTCAAAGAAAGGGGTTGTTAATTCAAATGAAAAAAAAAAAAAAAAAAACCTTTAGGGCTAAAATGTAAAGACTAGTCCCAGGAGTAACAATATAAGCCAACCATTTCCTAGAAAATCAGGAAACTCGACTCTTGGGAGATTTGGCCTCTGTTGCAACATCTGCACGGTGCCAGGTACTCAAATACTTCAATTATTTACCTCCCTGATTTCCGCCAAAACAAACAAATAAAGCATTTAAACAAGCACATTTCCTTTCATAAAAAAAGTGGTTTGAGAAAGAGATAAATGTATAAAGAAAATCACTAAATCAGTGTCACTGTTATCGCCTGCCCTTAAAGAATTTGCTAAAGCTTCTTTAATAATTTTTTATCTGCAGATAACTCCATCAGCTGACTACTGTAGAATTTCACTCTATATTGAAAGTTTCCGAGGAGAGACTATTATGGTCAGCTCTTGTCCCACCTCCCAGCTTGGCTCTCTGCTATGTCCTCTTATGGCGAAGGCCAAGCTGAATGAATTGCAAAGAATGTCAAACCCCTCCCCATTCTAAAGAGACCACAACCACACATCTATGAAATTCAAAGATTTCTAAGAAGTTCAATAAAGAGATGTGAAAACCTAAACACTACCTGGCTTTGAATAACATAAAAGTTATGGATGCTAGAAATAAAGTCGATTACAAGTTATTAAACTAGAAATACACTGTAAATTCAAAGAAATATTAAAGAAGTTCCTACCCTGCCACTCTGGGAAACATGAACACCCCCTGACATCACTGGCGTTGCAGACGCCCCGATAAGGAAAACCGCAGTCATTCACACAGTGCGGAATATCACACGCTTCACCCGTCCAGTTTTCGGAACATTCGCACTGGACAGTGTTGCTGCTATTACTGATCTTGCATTCTCCTTGGCCTGAGCAATTATTCGGACACATGTCAAAACTATAAAAACAGTGGGAGAACATTAAATCAAAACAAAGCAACACTTGGAATAATTTAGCAGAACTCCCTCCTACAGAAGGTTGAAGAATGGCACTGTCCCCCCATTCCCAAGCCCAGCTGCAGTCCTTACCACTCAGCCCAGACAGGGTAACCCAACACTGCACAGCTAGGGCACGTAACGAAGTTAAACTGAACTCATTGGATCTTCTTAAAAAGAGACAAGCTTTAAAAATTACAAGGAGAAAAAAGATTCTTGCAAAATGTACAGGCTTTGCTTCTCAAGTGTGGCAAGACTATCCTATTCCTGGTAGCCCACAAATGATGAGCGTTACAAAACTGCCACGTGCTTGCAACTGTGGAGAGGAAAAGGGTAAAACGAACTGCCAGCAATAATACACTAACATCCTGATGGCATATATATCCCTCTGGATAGTTTCTGAAAATTTAAAGAATTTGTTAAAGACTACTGCCCAGATTGGTGTATTTAAAATTCCTTAGTCAATGTATCTACACAATTCAGATGGAAGAAAAGGCCAGTTTAACTTAATACAGGAGTTTAACTATGTATCTCATAATAACCTGACTTAAGATAGTTGTATTGACAGCACTTTGAAAAGACATAAATCAAATTGTAAATAGGGGGAGGAAAACTGAACTATCAAGATACTTTAAGAGTACAGATTTCTTCTAAGGCCTGTAAAGAAAACCAAAAAGAAATTTTGTAACAAAATGTGTCAGAATATCAGAAAAGAGTTACAAAAACAAGCTAAATAATGTTCATGCTTACACCCAAATAGCATTTTATGATATATCTGTAATAAAATTTTATAAATATTTGTACACAGTATTTTTTATAGTTTATATTATAATATGATCACTGAATTTGCCTACTTTTCAAGTCCCAGTAAGCAGAATGAAGCATTTGGTGAAAAAGCTGAGTGGCACTCCTGTAGGTCTCTGGAGAGCGGTGCTTATACTTACACAGAGGTAAAGCTTCGATAAAGGTCAACTTCATCTTTCCTAAGAAAAAGGCCTTGCAAGGCAAAAGTTTATAAAGGGAAAGTCTAAGCTTCAGATTGAACTTGCTATGCCCACAGAGCCACAACACTCCCACTTCATTTTATAAAAGGCCTAAAAGAAAAGTGAGGCAAGGCAGTTCCACCATGTGCTCAGACCTACGCCTCAGACCAAGCACATGCCGAACGTTTCCTTACAGACACGCTTATCTGCCACAGAAGGGAACAGCACATAACCAACACTGAATGTGACCGAAAAACAAAGAGGAGGCGATCACTCATGCAGCCCTTAAACTAAAGGAGGGAAAGTGTAACTTCAACTGCCCCTTACACTTCAACCTCTCCACTCAAGGGCCTTTAGGCACAGATTTACTTTAAGTGCCGACATTAACAATGAGCACCTTTTAGAGCAGTGAATTACATCACATCTCAAAACACAAAAATTATTTTTGTATCTCTAAACTGTACAAACGGCCAGCAATATATCAAAATGTCTGCTTGTTGAAGTAATAAGAAAATTAGTCTAACTTTCTACCTTTAAAATATGACTCTGAGTGAGAAATAAGGTACAGTGCCAATCTGTGTGAAAGTAAAATGTAACTATTTGTTTTTTCTTCTTTTAAAAGAACATCAGAAAGCACCTGAGAAGCTGTGGGTGTGCACTCCAGGGGTCCTCCAGCTGCGTTGGCCCCAAGCTAAGATTCAGTGCAACCCGAGGGTCCCGGGAAAATGAATGACAGTGTTTTATGTATGTGCTTCTGGACATTTTTCTGGGATACAAACCATCATTTTATTTGGCTTTTCATAGGGCCTGGGACCCCTAAAATAGTTTAGGATTCCTTTTTAAAGAACAGAATAGAGCCTTGGGACCAAGAAACTAATAAAATTTATGATAACCTCATCATTCCTTCATTTAACAAATACTAATTCTGGTCTCTAGGAGAGACCAAGGCTTCTCCCTACACCAGTCAGAGTCAGGAAAGCACGCACTCCTGAGGAAGACACTGGCAACAGAGCAAGAAGAGCTCTCCAGGGATGACGGGCAAAGGGCCTCCAATGTCAAGGGGTGCTTGAACTGCTTTCTCCCCTGGGGTGCTCACTCCCTTGAGTTTCTCTTCTCCCCCAAGGCTGCTACTGCGACGGGCCATTTAACAGTGAAGACTGTGCCCTCTAGCCCCTGACTTAGGAACCTACCCAGAATGGAGCCTTAGTGAATAGCTAGTGCAATGCTACTAGACCTACCCAGAATGGGGCCTTAGTGAATAGCTAGTGCAGTGCTACTCAGAATGTGGACCACAGAGAGAGAGCAGCAGCCAGGAGCTATTCAGAAATACAGATTGTCAGGCCACAGCTCTACTGAACGACGATCTCTGGGCAGATCCCAGGAATGTGCCCTAATGAGCCCTCCAGAAGATCCCTGTGCATGTGAAGTTTGAGAAGCCCTGGCCTCAAGCCACATCTCCCCTTTCTCCCCTCCCCTGCAGAGAACAAATTCAGAGTGTCCGTTCTTAATGCCATGACTTTCTAATCTTCCGTCCCTACCAGGCCCTGGACTCCAACCTCCCCAGCTTGGGTGACCTAGGGCCTCCTCTGCTTACTCAACCCTCTATCAGCTTCCTCCTTCTTGAGACTTTCCTCTCTGGGCTTCTGTGACAACAGAGCCCACTGGCATTCCTCTGCCCCGTAACTGCCTGTACACCGTGCACACGCCCGCAGGCCAGTCAGGCACGTCCGAAACCCAGTGATTCTGGATGGCGTCTCATAAGCACCCAGCCGAACTCATCAGCCTCTCCCTTCAACCCAGCCTGCCTGTGTCACTAAAACTCAACTCGCTAATACTGCGATAAGCTGCCCAGGCTGCCAAGTCACACACCCTGGGCGCCTGAAAGACTGAATCACCGTACTAATCAAGATACAGAAGGCTTTCAATCAGTCTGAATAAATACTGAGATCATGAGAAAATGGGCAGGAAAAGAACCCAACATAAAGGTTTCATACAGAGGTGACTGCCTATGCCAGGAGCTGGCAAACTTATTTTGTAAAAGGCCACACAGAACTTTAGGCTTTGAGGGCCACAGAAGCTCTTATCACACACCACTCACTTATGATATTTTATGAATTTAGCTACTTATGAAAAGAAACATTTTTTTTTAGAGTTTGAAGTGAAAGCGAATTTATTCGTGAAGCAGTGAAACAGAGAATGGGTTACTCCACAGACAGAGCAGCCCCCCTTTAGTGAAATCTTCTTCCTTTATTGAGGTTCATTTACTTGGGGGCGGGAGATAGTATTTCTTAAAAGGAAAAAAAGAAAAGACAGAAGTGAGCCTCTCTCCTATCACAGCAAATTCCAAAAGCTGCCAAAGTCTGTCTGTCAACATCTCCTCTGTAACCTCAACTAAGTTGTCACCAGTGGTCCAACCACTAAGTACGCAAAAACTACTAGTATTTGTTAAATCATACTTAGCAAAAATCCCCAACGTTTTAACCCATTTTCACAGGAAAATGCCCCTCTCTCCCAGGGGAAGCTCGACAGCAGCAAGATCTGGGCTGAAACTGTGGCCCCAGGACTCTGACAATTTACTGTCTCCCACTAGTTTCCTCGATTATAAAACGAGTAGAAACACAGTGCCCATATGTCAGAGTCTTTTAGGAAAACACTTTACATGAGAAAATACATTCAAACCGCTCAGCACAATGCCCGGCACACTGTAGGCCCTCAACATACGTTAGTGACTAGTACTGTTCGCGTATACAGTCTTTGGAATAAAATCACAAATATTAGACATAAATATCTTACTTGTAAGTGATATTAAATCCAGTCAAATTATAAGCAGCATCACTAAAAAAATGCAGCAGGGCATAACCTGACGTGGCAACCACCTCGGGGACAGTCTCGTTGCTGTCTCGCTCAGGAACGATGAGGCCGCTGAAATGAAAACACATTTCTTAGGAAGGGAAACACAATCGCAGACACATCACACGGTGGCAAGCACAAGTTCACAGCTGGAATTCATCCGTATGGTTTAAAAAACCACTTTAGGAGGAGGGGCGACTACCCTGTCAGCTTCGGATCCCTGAGGAGCAGGGTCTGAGTCTCTGGCTAGGCCCTCCTTTACTCTGGGTTGTATTTCTATTCAGATTTGAAATTAATGGCCCTATGCTTTTTTTGAATAAAAATTTTGATACCTCATCTATGAAAAATTGAGTAAACCCTCAATAATTAGAGAAAGTAACAAACTTTGTTAAATACATATTAGTGAAAGACACGAAGAGTAAAAATACACGTAAGTGGGCTTGGTAAACAAACACCCGTAACCCCAACACCACCAGCATTCTGATGTGTCCTCTTTGCCTAGGTGGCACCAGATTACAGCTTATATTCCATTTCACCAGTAATGCACCGTAAGTGTCTCCCGTGTTACTAGAAATTCCTTCAGAGCTTTCATTGTCTCACTGAGACTCAAGCACACAAAAATTCTTGTTGGGTGCCTGGAGAGCGAAAGAAGTACCAAGTCACAGGGTCTAAATGATGCCTGTAAGGTTCCTGACCCAGAACACCAACCTGCTTTCCGGAAGAGCCATGCTGACTTGAAATCCCATCAATAAGGAGGGAAAGGGTCCATCCCACCTTGCTCAACCAACCAGTAAGGTTACCAGCCCTATTTCAGCTTTGCTAATTTAATAAGTGAAAGTGATTTTTAAATTTGGATCCTGAGTTTCTTTCATACTCATGATGTAAGTCATGTTTCCCATGTTTACTTGCCTTCTGCATACTTCCACGTGCTCACATCTTCTGCCCAATTATTGACACACTGTCACCAACACCTCACTCTGTAAAAAGCTTAAATCCTCCCAGGCCCTATGCAGTCTGCTGCACACACACGGGACACCACCCAAGAACAAACACCTCGCCCACTATTCTCTTCCCTTCACCCACTTGACCCCTGGCACACTGGCCTCTGTGCTTTCCCAGAGCACTCTCCACCAGGTGAACTCCCACCTCAGGGCCTATAATAATCTTAAATGCTCATTCACTGTGATGCAGCAATTCTATTTATTTGTAAAAGAAACACTTGCTCGAGTGCACAAAGACAAATGCACGAGAACCCTCACTACCACACCTTTTAGAATGTCAATAGTTTGAAATATACTCATCCACAGAGAGTTGGCTGAATGAATCACTACATCTCTGTCGGTCTGCAGGACTAACAAGGGGCCTCATCAAGGCACTCTGGTAAGTGGGGGCGGGGGCAGCTGCAAAACAACAGGCCTAGTATATGTGCACATTTATGTATTTATTTAAGTCCACATGAACATGACTAGAAGAATACATAAGCAGGGTCTGAAGGGGAGAAGGGGACAAGACGTTCATTCAATGAGAGTTTTCTTTTTTAAAGATTTTTATGTATTTATTTTTAGAGAAAGGGGAAGAGAGGGAGAGAAACATCAATGTGTGGTTGCCTCTTGCACGCCCCCTACTGAGGACCTGGCCCGAAACCCAGCTGTGTATACCCTGACTGGGAATTGAACCTTTGGTTTGCAGGCCAGCACTCAATCCACTGAGCCACACCAGCCAGGGCTCAATGAAAGTTTTTAATATGAAGACAGAATGCTAGTAACCCGAGGACACTGAAGGTGCTCCAGAGGTTACTAAACAGTGAAGAATTTTTCTCCTACGTATTCAACTAACAAATACTTACTATTTACTACTATCTGCATCTGTTCCACTTACATATGAGGCACCTAAGAAGGTACCAAGAATACAGCAGTGAAGAAGTTGCTGCCCTCAGGGGGCTCACCTTCTGAAAACGACAAATAAGCCTAGATACAGCTCCTCCCCTCCTCCACCAGGTGTGTGTACATAATGCCAGGCAGAGAGAAATGCTATGAAGGGAAATAGAACAAAGTACAAAAGGACAAAAGGTGCTACTTTAGACCGAGCAGACAGGGACGGCCTCTTGGAAGAGGTGACATTGGATCAGAAACCAACAAAAGGTTTCGACCATCATCGTGCTTCCATCAGTTTTATACACCTGAACCCCTTGAAATGCTGAAGGAGCAGGTACTTACAAGAGCAGGGCCACCTAGAAATGGGTTTGTCAAAAGCGATGTTCCCATGAGAAACTGGCACAGAGAAGGACGGGGCACTTCTGTCACACGTGGGAGACCCTGCACTCTGTTATCCCAGCACGAGCTTCAGGATCAGAGATGTGAGCTCCGATCTTTGCTCCACAGGCCTGGGTATGTCGCCGACATCCCTGAGCCTCAGTTTCCTCAAATGCACAACGAGAGAAATCCTATCTACCTCACAGTGATGCGTGAGAATCAAGCTGTTAAAATATGTGAAGTGCTTAAGAGCTGCCCCACACTAGGCTCTCAGTAAGTGGTAGCTAACGGTACTTATTTTTTATGTGTGGTGGGGACACTTCAGCATGTAGGACGAATGGCAGAATGCGTGTAGGGAGAACGCACGACAGCCACCCAAGGGATGGGAGGGCCATCTGCACTGGACAACCACGATACTAGAGAAGGGACCAGCTTCCCAAGTGCCAGAGGAACGTAGGCATTTACGTCTTTTCACTTCAAAAACTTGAAATTGTGACACCTCTGGAATGTGCTGCTTTCTCCTAGTATAAAAATAAAACAACTATTTAGGACAAAAATAAACTTCTACAGAGTAAGTGAACACAAACACAGCCTCTACCCAGTGTGGAAGGCAACGGAGAGTGTGTGGGTGAGCAAGTGCCGCTGCAGGCGCGCCGCTCAACTTCGCCCCGAGCTGCCCTGGCCTCCCCCCCCTGTGCCCCGAGGACACAGACAAAGGCAGGCGCAGCTCAGGCCACAGCCTGTTCAACTTGAGCAAATCAAGAACTGCCTGCCCCGGGTTTCTTCATCGTTTTATATTTCAAACACAGAGTTTTTAATTGCTTAGAATCGCTTTTGAAAATCACTTAACTCACATATTTTAACTCACCATAACTGCTCCAGACAGACATGGGCTCTCTGAATACACCTATAACTTCTAAGACACAACCTGACTTTACCAACTACACCACAGGTGACAAACACAAGGTCCGCAGGCCGAATCCGGCCCTCCACCTTGTTTTATCTGGCCCGGCACCAGTGGCAGCACCGAGCTCCTTGGCCCTAGTTCAGGAGTAGTTACATTTCTACAGTCCTACAATTACATTCGGCCCTTTGAGGGCAACCGTGAGGCCGGTGTGGCCCCCCATGAAAATGAGTCGGACACCCCTGAACTACATTACATAAGTGTACTAGTACTCCTTATCTGACGCACCTGTCTCCTTGCAAGACGACGTGCTCCTCACCCTGACTAGTGTGATTCAGCTGGCTGGGCACGGTCCCAAAAAGCGAAAGGTCATCAGCAGTTTGATTCCTGGTTGAGGCACATGCCTGTGTTGCAGTTTTGGTCCCCAGCTGGGGCATGTAGGAGAGGCAACTGACTGATGTTTCTCTCCCCCTCTTTCTCCTTCCCCTCCCCTCTCTCTAAAAATGAATAAATAAAAATCTTTGACTACCTTTCTAACTGTGCCATGGTCTGACTACAGTTTCAGTTGGGTGCTGGACAGACTGATTGACCCCCACTCTCACAGGCTTCCTCTAACAGCTCTTCGCCTCGGTCTAAACAACTGCCTGGCCTCAGCAACATCTGACTTTCTTTAAAAAATATATATATATCTAAAAGCAATAATGTTCTTTTGAAGAATGCTCTCAGAGGGTAAAACTGCTTCATCACCACTGCCACCTCTGCGTCTCCCTGGCAACAGATCCCAGCAGAACGGCTGCTCTGCAATGGTGCGTCATGTACGCATTTGTTGGACTGGATGCAGCACCGAATCCCAGTGTTGTGGAGTTGGAAGAGCCTTGTTCCAGTGGTTCTCAAAGCTGTCTAGTAATGGAATTGTGTTTATTAACAACAATTTTATTCAGAACTTCAATATATAAAAAAGATCAATGTGATCAACCAGTCTGAAGTCAAATTCAACATCGAAGTTTGCCATACTCCCCAAAAAACACAGTGTGACACCTCCACTTTAGGTTTTAGAAGCTGAAGTCCAGAGCACTTACATGACCTGTTCAAACACACACGGGGACTGGAGCAGAACTCAGATGAAAACTCCACATCTTCTGAATCCTGTGGGATTCTTCCTTCCTTTACTAGCTGAACCATCTGCCTCCAGGCTCCCTCCACTCCAGTCCCCGAGCACATCACCACTGGCTTGTTCCTCTAGTCAAGTTCTCCTGACTCGACAGCTCCCCATCTTGTGACAGGGCCTTTCAGCCTAAACAGTGGTTTCCAACTTGTTCTGCATACCTGTGCTTTAGAGGTTTTGTGTTTCAAGTAAATTTCAATTTTAAAACATATCTTTTCCCACTATAATTTCTGAAAAGTCATGCTCAAATATTATGCCATAGGTTAAACTTTAACATAATCAATGGAATAACTCATACTATCATCAACCAACTTTATTTTGTAGAAACCTAAAATCTCTCCTGGTATCTGTACATATACTTTGGCTTCTCTCTAAAGTCATTAATTAGAATAAGGACAGCCTCCTGCTTGTTCTGCTGTTGCTGCTGATTCACACGTCTGTTCATCAAACACCTAGTCCAGGTGAACACGGGACTGATGGTGTACACCTGCTTGGCGGAAGTTCGCACAGCTAATGGCAAGCTGACTCAAAGTGCCCAGTATGTAATAGGGACCCCATCAACTTGGATTAACAAACTCAGTATCAAGTGAACCCCCAACAAGTACCATCATAATAACATCATACTCTAGGTAGTTTTGGGGCTAATGCTAAAGTTTGGGGTGCCTCTTGCTATAATGCAAGGTATGCTTCAAACTCTCACATAAAGACATGCATGGCTCAGCACTTAGCAAATGACATCTTAATGCTTAGCATGGCCCAGCCATCCTGCTGTTTGGCTTCCTAAGTGAATCTCTGAAACTGGTTCTTAATTCCAGGACATGTAAGAGAGATTTCTAAGCCAAAGGGAGGGAAGAAGTACAAGGACGTTAGTCCCCTGGTCTCCTGTGCCCTTGGGCAACTCGTGCACTGTTTACTGTTTCTTCCTCACCCGCGAGATCAGCCTCATGTGAGGAATACAAAAATATTTGTTGAACTGATTTCTATTTAAACTCAAGGAAATAAAACATTTGAGGGAAAAAATATCTAGAAAGTGAGCTGCAGATGAAAAGCTGACAACATGGCTTATTATTTTATAAGTCTTCTACCAAGTAAAAGACAAATAAGGTAGATTTAAATTCCCACGTGGTCAAAAAGATGACAACACAGCCCATACTGTTAATAAAAACAAAAATGCCAAAAACAATCCAGAACATATATGTGGTAGTAAGCGATTTTCTTTAACTACTAATATAGAATATACTTACTGAAAACAAAATCGCAATATATGATTGGCATACTCCTCGTTTTCCTCAGATAGCCACGGTCCACTTTCTGCATATTCTTCCCCAAGTTTCCCCTCACTCATATTAATGCATTTACACAAACATACACACACATCTCTATACCTGAATTCGACAACTCCCTCCTGAAGGCCTATGTCATGCGGAACACAAGGATTAAGATGACCGTAATCCCTGATTTAATTTTTTCACAGAAACATTATTCAATACATTACTCACGAAACAATTTTAAAATGTAAACTTCACCACCACGAGAGGCAGATGGACGACACCCCTACCACGACTGGACAGAGCAGGAAACTGAAAGGAGAGGTCAAGTGCTCTGCCCAGAAACTTACCCAGTAGCTACAGGAAACCAAGTCAGGCCTCCAGAACTAGTACTTTCCATGAAATAATGCGTTAAGGGATAATAAAGGTGAGTCAGTAAGAATGCAATCTAGGAGATATACATTTGAATTCAGAAACCATATGATTAACTACTTATATGAGTGAGCTTACCTAAAGGCAGCAATTAGTGGTGCATAAATTGAGTCCCCGTCATACACATATAAATGGTCCCAACTACATTCTGTAGCAAAATGATTGAAACGAAGTCTCATTATTTTATTTGGCCTGGAAAAAAAAGTAATTTATAATAATCATAACTATTAAACATTTGAAAAAATATATAGCTAGATTTTTAAAGAATTTACAGAGAGAAAAATTAATAGTGAACAATATTCATTGGTTTGTCAAAGATTTACTTAGTATTTACATATGTGCAAGAGACCACTAAACATGCAATGATAAACGAAATAGATAGGTCTATGCCTCTTTGGGCCTTACGGTCTATACTGGGGCCATTTATTAACAGCCTCTGAACCAATCCATTAGCTCCTCCATTTCTGCACTTCCTTATTCAACTGAAGATCCCATACTACACCATTTCATACACATAGCTGCCAATTCTCTACACTCACCTGCCCCTCTGACTTTTCATAGAACTAACTGGCCAAAAGCCTTGGTCTAGAGGAAAACAGTTGCCTGCTTTGCCTTAGACTGAATCCAAAGAAAACTAAGCCGTGCCAGAAAAAAGTCACACCATGGACAAGGCTAGTTCCAGTACTGGTCACTGTTCACCCTCAAACAGCCCTTCAGTTCTGCCCGCAGTCCTATGACCAACTCTCTCCCTCCATAACTGTTACTCTCAATTACTACTTCAACCCATTCGGTCCCACCTCCCTGCTCTGGAAAATCGCCCCAGAATCTCTCAAATTCCCATTTCCCAAAACATACACCCACCTTCTCTTCCTTCTGTCTCTCAAATATTTACCATCTCCCTCTGTTCTGGAACTTCCACATCCACATTTTAATCTCCCTAAGCATCACACATTTTACCAAAAAACCCACAAAACGCTAAAAACTTCAGATCCCGACTCTCCTTCTAGCTATTACCCCGTCCTATCCCCTTCTCCTCTAGAATGAACCTCGACAGAAGACTCTGCTTTCTCCACTGCCTCTTATCCCCTTACCACTTCATTCTCCAGCCTGGCTTCAGCTCAAACACTCCACCCATAAAGCTCTTGGAATTAGCAACACCATTTAGTTCCTGCTGATGTCTAATTATATGTCTCCAGCCTAGACTTTTCCTCTACCTCACACTTATTTGTCTAACTAACTTCTCTAAGCAAACAACTAAATAAATACATAAACAAGTTAACTCAGATGGTGATGACCACTGTGAAGAAATTAAAGGAAACAGAATATGGTGGTACAACATATTCTGTTCCGAGGAAACACCCCAGAAGGCTCTGGAGGAGAGTAGAATGACAAGTGACAAGCCACATGAAAGGCTTGAAAACAATGTTTTAGACAGAGGAAAGAGCACCATCATAAAGTCTGGGGATGAAAGAAGTTATGACTTCATGTATTGGAGCAATATGAAGAAAATCAGCATGCCCGACAGCAAATTAGGGAACCACATGAAATGAGAAGTGAGAGGTAGGTAAGGGTGAAAATCAAAAGGCCAATTTCAAGGCTATTACAGGGGCCCAGGAAGATAAGGGTGGTGGTTCTTACACTAATTGCAGAGATCAATGTGAAAAGGAGAATGTGAATGGGTTTGGGGATATTCTAGAGGGAAACTGGCCAGAACTTAATAGACCGAATGTGAGGATAAGAGGAGGGAGAAATCATTTACTGGTGAGGCTGGGAGAAGCAACCACTGAGATCACATGCAAAGCAACAGTGAAGAAGGACACCAGACGGGAGAGAACTGATACAACAGAAAGGGCAGACAGACTACGAGTTCTCAGAGTCGTGTCCACAGAACGCCGGGGGCCCTGAGACCCTTTTAGGGGCCCACCAGGTCACGACTGTTCACAACAATTAATACTAAGTTATCATGTGCCTTATCGTCATGCTGGCATTTACTAATGGCACAAAAGCAATGGTGGGTGAAGCACCAAAGGGTACTAGTCATCACTGTCATTCTTCACCACCAGTTCCTCATAGAAAAAGGAGGAAAAAATGACAATTTCATGTAAGGATATCTCTATTAGATGGTAAAAATTACTAATTTTATTAATAGTGCACATCTTTTTAATATTCTGCATGACAAGACGGGAAGTCTGCATAAAGCACTTCTGCCACCTCACAAAGTACAATGGTCTCAAGGAAAATCACTTCTGCAATTGCTAGAGTTGTGAGCTGACCTTGTTGCTTTTCTTTTAGAACACCGTTTCTCATCTTTACTTGAAAGAACAACTGAAAAATTATGGTTTTTCAGACCTGGATATATGACCGATATTTTCTTGAAAATGAACAAAGTAAGCCTGTCACTTCAAAGAAAACAACTGGCAGTACTTGTTACCAAAGATAAAATAGAAGTTTCAGGCAATAATGAGAACTCTGAAAAGCTGGGATCTGCCAACCAAAGACAACTTTCCAGTATTTAAAACTTCTGATGAGACTGGTGGTGATACTAACTAATGTGATTTTTTAAAGTGATTTTAGAGAGAGAAAGGAAGAGGGGGAAGGCTGGAGGGATGGAGGGAAGGGGACGCTGGGAGAGAGAGAGAGAGAAACACCTATTTTTGTTGCTCCACCTATTTATGCATTCTTTAGTTGATTCTTCTATGTGCCCTGAGCGGGGACTGAACCTGTAAAATTGGAGTATTAGGATGACACTCTAACCAACTGAGCTACCTGACCACGGCCCAGTGTGATATATTTTTTTATATTATATAATGAAATATATCACCATTTGGGAGATCTGCATAATTCAGTGAACCAATATTTTCCAAATGTCCCACATATCATGTTACAAAAACAATGCACCTTTATGCAGGTTAAAGATCCATTCAAAGTACAAGAAAATGAATTAATTTTAATGTAACAAATTCCAAAAGTTCATTCATATTGTTTCTGATTCCACACTACAATTTACTTTTAAGCAATTACCCCTTGTCCAGTTTTGGAATAGTACCAAACACCATCCACAATTATTTCAAAGGGCTATGAAAGCCCCTCCCCTCTTCCTACTACATATTAAGTGAAGCCTAATTTTCTTCACATACTTCTACCAGTAACATACGGTAACAAAGTGAATGCAGAAGAGAATATGACAATCCAACTAACTGCCTTCTACAAATCCAGAGAAGAGATTTATAAAAACGTAAAGCACTGTCGTCATTCTTCTCACTAACCATTTCTAAGTACAGGGTTTCTTTTTTCATAAAATACATCATTTGTGCTAACACATGGGTTTATTATTGTTGCTTTTAAAGTAAATTAAATATTTCTTAGTTTTAATTTTAATATGGTAAACACACACAAAAAATTATTTGGAATTCTGTACATTTAACAGTGTAACAGGGTCCTTAGACCAAAAAGTCTGAGAAACGTTACTTTGTGAGTGTGCTGAAGGCAAGAACAAGAAGGCCCGCAGCCGCGGGGCCACGGGCGCCCAGGGCAGGGGCAGTCCGGGCAACAACGACTGTTCTGACTCCCCCGCCCCCCAGTAAAAAAGGGCACTCAGAAAAAATGACACGATGTTTTAACTGTCTAATGCTTCAAGTAAACCATTCAAAATACTCAACAGTTTTTTAATTAGTACAATTGAAATATACATTTCTGGTGTGTGTAATTCATCTGCAGCTTTAAATCAAACGCAAATTTCTTTGTTAAGTAACAATGAAATTCAGAAAAATAAAATCAAATTTACTTACAAACTAAGAAGTTACCAAACAAGAAAATATTTTAAGTACTTTATGCTACAGACTGATCATTTTACTTATAGGAAAAATAATGTCACACTGAGCTCTATCCTGAAAGAAATTAAATTAAATCGGCCTTTCCTACTTACAGTCCTTCGACGAGCCATGTGCACTTCGTCTTGTATTTGTAATTTCCAGGTCCATCCGTTATAAACCCAGAAGATCCAGTTAGTCTGAAATTTAAAAAACCCATCAAAATATTACATATTAATATTATCTTTCTTCATTCTCAATACAATCCAAGTTAAGCACAGTGAGTATACTAGTGCATACGACTGATACATAAACAGAAGAAAATAACCGGACAGTTACATTCAGATTACACAAATATAGATGAAACAAGTACACACACTTAGGGAGACAAATACACTAAAACTAACACAATGAACAAAAAACATATCTAAATATTTCCAGATAAGATGGGAAAATTGTACTTTGTACCACAAAAATGGACACAAGAACTTACTTATAAATATGAGTTGGTTTTTAAAAATAAGGTCACACAGTAACAGTTACACGTATTTGATACAACAGCACTACAGACAGCATAACTGTGATGGGTGAGCATATCAGATGCCGCAACACACAAGAGATCCATCACAGCCATTGAGGCTGCTGCTTCTGAAGGGGCGATCTCGAACCCTGCATGGACAGTGTGCATCAGCACCTGTCTTGCCACGCTCATGCCAAGCTTGAAGTTCAGCAGTATGTTGAGGTCTTTCCATTAAGACAAGCATATCCTAGTATTTCATTAATATTTTCACTGGTACTAGCGCTAATGTCTGAACCTTCTCAACTGTTCTATTCATTTGCATTTCCCCCTCTGTGAATTTAGATTCTATATTCTTTGACCACTTTGGGACCAAATTGCCTTTTCAAATTAATGTTTAGACGTTCTTTTTATGTTAAGGAGTTGCAGGTTGTATGTTAAATGTACTAAAAATTTATTCACTCAGTTTACTTTTTTTCTTTATACTCTCTGTCTAGTATATTTTGTTACACAGAAATTTTTATTATTTAAGAAGGATGTTGTTTCTTTCCTCATTGCTGTTTCCAGGTCATTTTTCCTCCCCCTTCTATCGACAACATCAGCCTCTCTGAAACACGTGCTCTCTTCTGGATCAGCCTCCCTCACTTTCTCAGACACCTACTGAGATCTCAGTCACTTCTCCTCACCCACTGAAGACGTCAGCAACAAGTTCACGGCCTTCCACTTAACTACATCAACACCCAAGATGTTCCATCCAAAACCCAGACTCTCTACTTCTTAATTTCATCATTAACAATCTTTCCTCCACCCCACTTTAGTTACTCATGCCTCTAGGTCATTACCAGTAACAGCACTGCCATCAAAATCTTCATTTTAGGTGTCCTATGCTCCTGTGCAGACTGCCATCTTCTTGATCTGCAGAACATTTAGCCTTTTTCCTCCTTCCCAGTGAGTCGATATCCCCATGAGGACCTCCAACCCACTAAACTAGCACTTCTCCATGTCCATCCCCTGACACCCACACATTTCACTCTCCAGTTCCCTAGTTAAGATCCTGCGGTCTATCACAATTAACATGCCCCCCAAACCCCTTGACTTCCTTGCCCTTCTCTCCCTCCGCTACACTTAACTGATACAAAAGTCTCTGTGTCTCACTCCCCAACATCTATTCCACCTCCAAAATGTTAGTCTGAGCCAATCATGGTCTCTTGTGTTCTCTGCCAAAAATTAATTAGAAATGTGTATCAGTTAAGATTAGGCTCTTATGCAACTGACAGAAGAATCTACACAGTAATGGCTTAACTGAGAAATTAAGTCCAAAGATAAGCAACCCAGAGCATTTCCATGATCATCAAGAACCTAATATTTTGGGACTGGAGGTGGGAGGGGGGCGTGTGTACGGCAGGGAAAAGTGGAGACAACTGTATTCAAACATCAGTTAAAAAAAGGGGGGGGGACCTAATATTCTTCTGTCTTGTTGCTCTGTCATCCTCTACAGGTGGTTTCCACCTCGTAACCCAAGATGGCTGCTCAAACTCCAGCTGTCTTCCCCACATTCCACCCAGCAGGAACAGGCATATATCCCAAGGTGAACTTGACAATTCAACTTAACCATTATCCAAAAGTTAGACAAATCTAAATACAGAGGCTGAGAAATGAAGCCATTATCTCAGACGACCATGTATCCAATGAAAACCAGGACTTGCTTTACTAGAGGCAGAGAAAGACTATGAAGGGTCATTGTTAGTCTTTGTTACAACATGTAATCTAATACTTAAATGTAGGGGAAGTTGATCAAGGACTGCTGGGAAATATTTTCTGATTCTTAAAGACAGCATGGTAGACAGAGATGTGCCACCTAGATCTCCCCCTCCAGGAAGGACCTGCTCTAGCGGCAGTAGGCAGCACGGCCATCAGATGGCCTGCAGCTGTCGCCTGTTCCTTCAGCAGCTGCCTGCCCAAGGCAGCCCGCACCGGAGCAGACGCAAAGGCTGGGACATCTCAATCCAACGTGAACAACCATGAGGAGCAATCCCTGCTCCAGAGCTCCCCTTGATCAGGCCTGCATTAAAGCTCTTCTTTTGCCCAGTTCTGCTTCCAACCCCTTCCCCTCACAGTTGTGATAACCAACCTGTACCCCAAACTCAATCTCAGCAAACGCATCCAAGAAACCCTCCCTACGACGGACATGCAGAGAGAACATTCTTCTTCTCCCTGTGGACTTTGCTGTAGTTGGATTTTACGGCTGGAAGTACTGCAGCCTGAACACAAAGCCAACACCAAGAACGACCAATTGAAGCAAGGCAAAGGCCCCTGAAGAGCAACACCAGCCAACCAAAGAGACCACCCCAGTTTTATGGGTGATTAAATCTCCCTCTGGTTGCTGCTGGAGAGAAAGAGAGCAAGAACGAACATGGGCGTGCATTTCTTTCATTCCTTCTGTTAGGCTCTCCTACCTCAGAGATTTTATGGCTTCCTATTATGCTTGTTTTGCTCCTAAGAATTTCTGTGGACTTCACATGGATATATTCAGATATTTGCAAAGAAGCAACACTTTTAGAAAAAGAAATAGGTTATTTCTAGGTTATTTTTATTTAAAATGTTTACTGAGCATCATTACACATGTACATTTACATAATACTCTGGTTTCTCTACAGATCGTATAAATCTTTCATCTTTTACATAATTTCACAGGTCATTACCTGTGAAGTAAGTGTCATCACAGGCTTTTTTTGTTGTTGTTGTCAACTAAAGAACATTCTTCCCAGGTACACTCACCTACCTCCAGCCGAGATGAACATTTAACCACTAACAAGCATTCTTAAATATTTTCCTTCATACTCACAAGACCATGAAATTCATCCTTTTTCATGGAGCATAATAATCCAACCTCTGAGATAGCGTTTTTGTCTCTGCCTTTCTCCTACTAACATTGTGTTTTCAGCCGGTTGGCATTCTGCACTTTGCTGCAGTAAACACCCCTATACAAGCGGCTTCACTTGTGCTTCTATTTCTAGGAACAGAATCTTGGGAGGAAGTGGCTGGGCCAAAAGGAATATGAATTTTAATTGTTACCTAGGCTGCCAAATTTATTTTCCAAAAGGCTGTAACAATTCACATTTGCACCTGCAATATGTGAAAATATTCTATTCTCCACATCCCCTCTGTGTATTAGGTGTTGTTTCTATTAAATTTTACCAGTTTTGAAGTTGAAATCCCCTGTGTTCTAGTGAATGAGCAACAAGTGGTTACTGGAAATTTAGAAAGGTTTGAAAGGGGAAGGCCAGGAGTATCAACGTAAAATTTCAGGTCAAGTTTTACAGCATCGTTAGACATATTACTTGTTTTACATGTTTCAATGGTTCTCACTCTTCTGTTTCTCGCATTTTGCCTTCCTGGGGGGGGGGTCACTTGAACACTTTTTAAGATTCTACCTTAATTAATTTATATTGCTTTTATCTTCTGTATAGTTCCCTTGGTGGTTACACCAGGAATCAGACTATACATAGGTGACTCATAATTACTGGTAATGCCATTTCACTCCTTTGAGTGGAGTGTGGAAACCTCACTTCCATTTAAATGCTTTATCTTCCCAATTTTAAATATCATTTTTAGCATCAATGGTTTTATATTTTTTGATTCAATCAACAGATCTGCTAAATCTCAGGAGGAGAAAGAGTCTGGTATTGTACACATCCATATTTCTGCTTTCCCCACCATTCCTTCTTTGCTGGTGCTCTAAGATGCATCCCTTTCTCATTTCTTATCTGTTAAAGAACTTCTGTTAGCCATTCTTTAAGGGTAGACCTGCTGGCAACAAATTCTTTTAGTTTTCCATCATTTGAGAATGTTTTTATTTCCTTTTAATTTTGAGGGACAGTTTTTGCTGGATACAGAATTCCTTTTGTTTCAGCATTTAAAAAATATTGTGCCACTTTCCTGATCCCACGGTTTCAGGGAAGACATCTGTCGTTTGAACTGGGCTTCCCTGTAGGTAAAATAACTTTTATTTGCCTTTAGTTTCTGGGCTCTGTTAAGTTCCACCAACCTATTAGTTTATTCACTCACCGCTACCACATTGTCCTGATTACCTGTAGCTTTACAGCTAAGTCTTGAAGTCGGGTAGTGTCAGTCTCCTGACTTTGTTCTTCACCTTCAGTCTTATGCTGGCTATTCCAGGTTCTGCCTCTTCATACAATCTTCAGGATCAGTTTGTCGATATCCATAAAACAACTTGCTGGAATTATGCTTGGGATTGTGTTTAACTTATAGATCAAAGTGGGGTATCTTGACAATAATGAGTTTTCCTATCCATAAACAGGAAATATCTCTTCTCATTTATTTAGTTCTTTAATTTTAGTCATCAGTTTTGTAGCTTTCCTCATACAGATTTTGTACATGTTTTGTCAGGCCTATACCTAAGTATTTCATTGGGGGGGCTGCTAACATAAATGGTAATGCATTTTTAATTTCAAATTCCACTTCTTCATTGCTTGTATATAGGAAAGCAACTCACTTCTATATATTAACCTTGTATCTGTGCCTTTTAATTTCCACCTGTGGGTTTCTTTTGCCAAATTTGGTAAATTTCCAGCCATGATTTCTTGCAAATAATCTTTCAATCCCACCCAATTTTTCCTTTCCTTAGGGGACTCCAATTAAATGAATGTTAGATCTTTTGTT